TTTTTTTTTTTTTTTTTTTTTGGTTTTTCGAGACAGGGTTTCTCTGTAGCTTTGGAGCCTGTCCTGGAGCTAGCTCTTGTAGACCAGGCTCATCTTGAACTCACAGAAATCCACCTGCCTCTGCCTCCCGAGTGCTGGGATTAAAGGCGTGCGCCACCACCACCCGGCTGTTTGCTGGTTTTAAAGTGGACACAGTGACAAGCCTGTCATCTGGGGTCTGGTGTGGGGAGTTAGATGCATGAAAGTGTGACCTCGTGCCTAGCAGTCAGAGTGGGGGAAAAAAAAGAAGAAAAAAAGAAAAAAATAAATGAAGAAAAAGCAAAGGTCGGCCGACCCCCCACACTTACCCACATCCCTACCCTGTATTTTCAGGCCCGCACCAGAGAGGTGGAGCAGCCCCTGGCCTTGGGAAGTGTGCCTTGTGGAGCTGTGAGTGGTGACACAGGGTCACAAGACTGGGGTGTGGCTCTGGGTAGGCCACGAGGGGCCCAAGTTGCCAAGGACAGGTCAGAGGTCAGTTCCTCTCTTCATGCACTTGGCTGCCCACTTGACACTGAGCACCCAGTCCCATCCCTGGGGGCCGGCAGTGGACAGAGTAAATTCTGCCATTGGGTGACCGAAGAGCATGAGTTTTAGTAAAAAAAAAAAAAAAGTAATAAAATAAAAAAGGTAAGTCTGATGTGCTCAAAAAATGGTAAAGGAAAATGGAGGGACCACCCCAGCAAAGCCGTGCCTCGAGGTCAGGTCCGGGAGATGGCTGCTGGAGCTGGGTCAGCAACCAGAAGTCTGCCAAACAAGTAAGGACAGGACAGAAGCACCCTGGGGGGCCCATTATGCACCCGGGCACAGATGCCATAAAGCCAGGGATACAGCAGCCAGCCCCAAACTACCCACTGAGAAGCCTGATCATCATTTAACACCTGCCCAAAGATGAGGAGACCCTGAGGAAGGCCATTCTACAAAGAGGAGAGCCCTGAGAGCATCATGTGCTTCTCGTTCCCTGGGGAACAGACAGCTACAGGCCCCGGCAGGCGACAGGCAGGACTGGCCTTGGTTGTACTCTCAGGCACGGCAACAGCAGCCGCAGGGGCAGAGTCCAGGTGGACTCTGAGCCTACCTTGATCTGTCCAAAGCCAATGGTGATGGCGGCAGCAGAAGTGAAGCCGTTAATGACAGGGCAGGAGATAAAGTCGAGTAGAAACCCTGTGGCCAACAGAGAGAAGAATGGACATTTAATCCACTCAGCTTCAGAGAAGGGGTATGTGTGGGCAGGGAGAAATGGCACAGGGGGGCTGGGGGTTGACTCCACAGCTAAGGGATGATGGGCGGCATGCTGCTCTAAACCTTTTTTCTAAAGATTTATTTTTGTGTGTGTGTGTGTGTGTGTGTGTGTGTGTGTGTGTGAGTTTATGTGCACCATGTGTGTGCCCATGTGAAGAGAGGCCAGGAGAGGATGCCAGACACCCTGAAGTTGCCCAGGTGGCTACTGGGAATTGAACCCAGGTCTTCTGCAAGAGGAGGACATGTGCTTAGCTGTGAGACATCTTCCCAGCCTCACATCTGTGGTGATTCCCCTGCAGGCTTGAATGAACGCGGCTCAGCCTGTTGTACTGTAACCAGCCCTAGATCAGAGCTTCTAGAGTCTGGCCAACATCATTCTACTCTAGCCATATTTAAGCACAGCACAATTTTGGGAAAAAATATTAGGATAACAACGAACTCAGTCCAAGTGCATAATAATATAAGACATGTTTACACTGAGATTCTTTGCAAAGTACATCCGGCTTCCTTCACAGGAATGGGTACTGTTGGCGTAGAGATAGTGCCCAAGGTTTAGACTTTAGGGAGCTTGACTGAGGTAAACACATTGCCTGTGGGTGTCAGGATTGACCCGGCCCTAAGATAACATAGAAGTCACTTAGGCTGTTGTAGAGTATGGCTGACATCACTCATGAGAATGGGATTTATCTGTCAGGCGTGGCAGTGCACACGCCTTTAATCCCAGCACTCAGAAGGCAGAGGCAGGTGGATCTCTGGGGTCAAGACCAGCCTGGTTTGCAGAGTGAGTTCCAGGACAGTCAGGACTACACAGAGAAACCCTATCTTGAAATACCAAAACCAAAACCAGAAAAAAAAAAAAAAGAAAAAGAAAAAAAGAATGGGTTTTATGCTCTAAAGCAATACTCAAGGGGGCCTGGGAAAAGTAAAGACAGACATTCTGAAAGACGTGGGCAGAGCCTCACTCCACTGAGGAGGTGAGCTACGTTTGGCTTTGCTGGCTTCTCCAGTGTTCATCTGCGTGCACAGAGCCTTTCTGTCCTCCACACACATATTCTAGACATTTTGAAGGTGGGACAGGTCTAGGATGTGGGTCCCCAACACTTCTACAAGGGCTCTATTCTGGCCCCTACAGCGGAGTTGGAGGTTGACCCTCCATGTATGCAGCGATGCAAAGAAAGGCACCCTAGGAGGACTTGGTACCCCAGGAATGGCAGCCATGAAGCCCCTCCCAAAACAGGAAAGCGGTCTTACCTAAATGCAGGAAGCCCATGGCCAGCTGGATACACCCAGACAGGAAGGCTAGCAGCACAGCGTAGGCGGGCTCGTGGAACGTGTAGAAGGACACCAGGAGGGACATGATAGCCGTGGGGCCCAGAGTCACGTCCCGGGAGGTGCCCAGGAACAAATACACGAAGCAGCCCATGAAGGCCGAGTAGAGGCCATACTGTTGGGGAAAGGCAGCAGTGAGCACCAGGAGGTCCAGGCTGGTCCCCATACACCCACGTCTCTGTTGTCAACCCCGTACTTGGGCACCCCAGCATGCCCCGGAGGATGCACCCCCTTTTCCCATTAACTACTAATGGTGGGGGACGAGGGGTTGTCTGTTCGAAGCTCAGGGCTGTGTGCTTATATCTGTGAGTCAGAGAATTGTTTGTTTTTTTATAGATTCTTATTTATTCATTTATTTTGGGTTGTCAAGGCAGGGTTTCTCTGTGTAGTCCTGGCTGCCCTGGAACTCGCTCTGTAGACCAGATTGGCCTCGAAATCACAGAGATCCACCTGCCTCTGCCTCCTGCACGCTGGAGTTAAAGGCGTGCGCCACCACCGCCCAGCTTTGTTTTTTAACTTTATGTTCATGATGATTCTGCCTCCAATTATGGATGCGTTCCGTGTGAGTGCAGGTGACCTCTGAGGTCAGCGTTGTAACTAGAGTTACAAGTGGTTTTTAGGAACTTCACCACATGGATTCTGGGAACTGAACCCAGGTCCTCTGCAGGAGCTGTGAAAGTTCTTAACTGCTGAGTCATCTCTCCAGCCCTAAGTATTAAGTCATGATGCTGGCCCCAGCTGGAAAATCTAGGACCAGCTTGGCACCGTAAGGCAGTCACATGTTAGGTCTTAACAGTTAAGAGATTAGACACATTAACAACAGTTAAGAGGCCACCAGGGTTGGACCTATGAGAGTGTCTGACTCCCTGTTGGTGTTTCTGTGTGTGGACAGACATTGAGGGACAAGGAAGGGTCAGGATGGGGAGGGACAGATGGCAGAGGGGTCAGTTATGTCACCTGGGGCGGGAGTCCAGCCACTTCTGCGTAGGCCAGAGCCTGGGGGATGACCGTGAGTCCCACGGAAAGTCCAGCGATGAAGTCCATTTTCAGCCACTGCAGAGAGTAGACAGGCAGCCAGGCCAGAATGGGCAGTCTCCTCTTCAGGGCCCCACGAGAGCAGCAGCAGGTGTCCGGCGCCATGTCCAGGCTGGGGCAGACCTTTCACGGAGGATGGATTCCCTAGAGTGGGGCTGGGCATGCGTGACACAGAGCAGTGATAGGCGGTGGGTTTGGGAGGTGTCAATGTCCCATAGTAACCCCCTTCATGGACCTCAGGAAGAGAGAATCTGTCTTTTGTGAGAGGGAGGCTGAGTCAGGTGGCTAAGTTCACCAAACCATGATGATCTGGAAAAGGAAGCCAGCGACCTGTGCACATGAGCCTGGACCAAGGACTCAGGAAGGCTCCTCATCCCCTGAACCCCACAATCACCAAGTCTGGGTGTATCTCCATTGGCAACACCTACCAACAAACCAGGTAAAATTTAGCCAGACTAAATTTCAGGCTCTGAAGTATCCGTTCCTTTATTTTATCCTCTCTCCAAAGATCTTGATGGTACCAGCCCAGACAGAAGCAGGTCCTGCAGGCTCAGGCCTCCTCTGGCTGACCAGAGTGTGGGTGGGCAGCCTTGGGGGCCCTAGGGGCACCAAGATTTCAAGTGTGCACCACCACTGAGGCCACCACAGAGGAAGGGCTCCACCCACCACTGAGGAGGGCACCGCAGAACTGTGACAGGAGACTCACATCCTAGAAGTTACCCAGCATCCACCTGTGGCATTCATAGTCCAAGAGAGGGGCCCTGGGAATTCTAGTTGGCTTTCCAAAGACCAACCAGAGGTCCCGAATTAATTTTAGGTGCGTGTGGCATCCGCTAAAATCCTGGCACACACACACACACAGAGTCCCAGAACCATAGCTGGTTCCCCACCACTGGTCCACGCTCCCCAGCCCTTGAAGTGCTGTTCTGGACAAAGTCCACTCCTCCCCACCCCCCACCACCCACGCCGCGCTAGCACGGGTCCAGTGGGGACCCTGACTCCTGGGGTCCCAGTGGGGAACACAAGCCATCCTGAGAACCTGGAGCAAGGCTGAGAACCTGGAGCAAGGCTGAAGGAGGCCGAGATTCCTGTGGGACTCGGTGGGGGAGGGTCCCCGGACTAGGACGTACCCGGGGACCCAGCGCTGGCCGCGCGTCCACAGCTCCGGATGATCCCAGGCCCCGCGGCTGCACACTCCCTCCCTCCACTCCACGGATCCAGACTCACCCACTGGACGCTGAGGCTCTGGGGTCTCCCAAAGTGGCCGTGGCTGAGTTGGCAGGAATCTCAGGGACAGAGTAGGCAGGACGTGGGCGGGGCCGAGCGTGCACGTGACCGTGGGGAGGGACCGAACCGGAACCGCTCACCCAGGCGGGTGCCGCCATGCACACCGAGGGACTGTCCTGCTGCTTGGTGTTTTTGCTTCTGGGACTCTGCAGTGTGCACTCGCGCAATGTGCTGCTGATAGTTGGTGAGTGTCGCCGCCCCTGGCTGGCCGTCCACGGCCGCTTGCTGCTGCCTCCAGAAGCGGCCACTCTGCTCCTCCCCTCTTGTGGCCCGTGGTGACTCCGGTGCGCCGCCAATTCCCTTGCAGCCCCCCTGCCATCCATGATGGGGGATTCTTCCTAGTGACACTACGTGCGGCTGGCCCTCCCGCTTCTGCCCTGCCCGGTCTGGCCCAGCACTCCCTCATCTGTAGTCAGAGAAGCCAGGGAAACCCCGTGGAGCCCAGCTACTTAGGCTGAGCGGTCTAGCAGAGCTAGGGGGTTCACAGATCGCTGAGAAAATTCCAAAAGAGAGACTGGTACCCGAGTTGCAGGGTGTCCCAGTCCAACTGCTCTCCACCGCTGGCTCAAAGGTACAGCCCTCCACGGCCCACACAAACTCCCTCAGCTCCTCTTAGGAACCCCAAATTCCCCCAGCATTCACGAGACTTCCTGTTTGAGTGATCAGTGCCTGGCTTGTGACAGTCCAATCCTTCTGAGGTCTGGCCCCGGGCCAGACCCACTCTTTCTGATAAACTCTGTGGTGTCTGGGCAGGTCATTTGGGTAATTGTAACATAAACAGTGCTGTGTCAGCACCACTACGGGTCACATCTCCACGGGGCAGGGGGCGGGGAGTAGCGGGGCACTAATGAAGCCGGCTCAGGCTGCACATACACCGGGTAGGGATTGGTCCCGGAGCCTTCCGGAGCCCAGACTGTGTAGCTGCGGAAACTCGGTCCTATCTCAGCTTGGATAGCTATAACAACACAAACCCTACAGACTCGGGACTGGAGAGCTGGCTCAGCACTTAAGAGGGCTGGCTGCTCTTCCAGAGGACTCAGTTCAGTATCCAGCACCCACATGGCGGCTCACAACTGCCTGTAACTCCAGCTGTGGGGCATCTGACACCGCTTTTGGTGTCTGTGGGCACATGTGTATACATGCAGGCAAAATATCCACAAAGCATAAAATTGAGATTAACACACACACACACACACACACACACACAGGGAGAGGGAGAGGGAAAGAGAGAGGGAGAGGGAGAGGGAGAGGGAGAGAGAGAGAGAGAGAGAGAGAGAGAGAGAGAACTACCTACAGGTCAGGTTTTTGACAAACAAGTGTATTTTCTAACAGTTCCAGAGTCTGGAGAGACTGGGACCAGAGAGCCAGCTCCTCAGAGGCCTTCCTGGCTTTTAGATGACAAGCATCTCATTTCCTAATACGACAGAGAAATGTCACAGCCCTGCTGAGTTGGACCCCACCTTCATGTCTTCATTTAATTGTTAGAGAAAATAACAGCATGAATTTTGGAAGGACACAATTCAGGGTCACAGGCGGGTGCTGAGACCTCTGTGGGCAGACGCAGCATTCTTCCTGTCCTGCAGCAGAAGGCACACTAAACACGACTGTATGCCATTTGTCCTCCCGCCAGTCCTCCCACCTGCCCTCCCTCCCATCCTCCTGTCTGTCCTCCCACCTGTCCTCCCACCTGCCCAGTTGTCATTGGTCCTTGGGATGGAGGATGGTAGCTGGACTGGAGGTTGGCCATCCACCTCTGTTCAAGGATTGTGCTGCCTGAGACTGGTGGGTGACATGTTGCCCTGGGGTTCCCACCTGCTACTTCTGGGGTACCCCTGATGTCCTCTGCTGCAGCGCAGAGGACAGCTATAGGACCTGGGTGACCTGTCCTCATTTCCACTGCCCAGCAGTGGCTGTGTGTGCGACTTGTCAGTTCTCTAGGCTTCAGGTGCCTCCTGTAGGGTGGAGGGGAGAAACAGTCCGCAGGACTACAGCCCCTGGGGAAGAGGACTGTGTCTCAGTGAGAGGCAGAGGTGTGGTGCGCACACACGCACGCACGCACACAAACACATCCTCAGCTGTGTCCTGAGCGTGGCTCTCCTGGCTGTCTGGCACCTTGTGAACTGTCTGAAGAGCCCAGGGTAGCTCAGTAGCCTGCAGTGATTACACCAGGCCACCACCTGATGTGGGATTCCCCTCGAAGCTGCTTTGGGCCTGTTGCTGTGCAGAATGGGGCAAGGTGGCAATTCCAAGCAGATAGAGGAGGAGAGAGTAGGTGGAGTCAAAGAGACGCCATGTAGTCGCTGGAGGAAAAGAGACAGAGGCCACCAGCTGGAAACTTGCTGGTAGGCCACCATCTCGTTTTGATGCACAGATTAATAGAGATGGGTTAATGTAAGATATAAGAGCTAGCTAACAATATGCCTAAATGAATGGCCAAGCAGTGTTTTAATTAATACAGTTTCTGTGTGATTATTTTGGGTCTGGGAGGCCGGGAACAAACAAGCAGTCTGCCTACAACCACCTACTAACAGGCCTAGATGGACACCAAGTTTGTTGGGGTGTCATGCTTCTCCCCCACTAGCCCATCTGTGAAGCCCCATCTGAGTGTTGAGAATTGGGTTCCATGCAAGCCATGCACCATCTCTCCCTGATAACACATCTAGTCAGGGATCCTGCCTGCCTGTGTGTTCCCTGCTTGCTCACAAGCTTCTGTATCATCAGGCCTAGCACCACTCGCCCTTGGGTACCCTGCTTTCTGGGAGCATCTTGCCCTCCTGAGAATCACAAGGCCAAGCCTTTGCAGCAGTACCTGGGTCCCCCAACACTACCCCCCCCACCCCAGCCAACACACCCTCTGCTCTGTGCTCCTCAGCGGACGATGGAGGCTTTGAAAGTGGAGCCTACAACAATAGTGCCATCACCACCCCTCACCTGGATGCTCTGGCCCGCCACAGCCTCATCTTCCGCAATGCCTTCACCTCTGTCAGCAGCTGCTCCCCCAGCCGCGCCAGCCTCCTCACCGGCCTGCCCCAGGTGAGAGCAGCTAGCGGGATGGAGTGAGGGAGGGTGGGTAGGTAGGTGACTCCAGGGCCCAGGGGAACCCCCTCCCCCGCCCCGTTGCCCTGAGGTGCTGCCCGTGGTGCAGCTCAGTTTCCTGTGCTTCCTGATGAGCAGATACAGCCCAGAGGTCTCCAGTGCAGACCAGGGCTCTGCTCCACCCCCATCAGCTCAGGTGGCTCTGCCGCTCTGTGGCCACAAGCAGACATCATCCCTCTCTGTGCCTTAGTGTCCTTGTCTGTGACGTGTCACTCACAGATCACTGGGTTGTCCAAGCAGGGCTCTGTGGGTACAGTGCTTAGCCCAGAGCCTGCACACCTCCTCCCCAGAGCCTGCACACCTCCCCCCCCCCCCAGCTCTGCGCTCAGATCTGCTGTAGGTCGTGCCCTCCAGTGCGATACTAAGGCACTTCCTCTTTTCGTTGTTATGGTAAAGTACATAAAACATAAAATCTGCCGTCTGGACAGTTTTTCGGTGCATGGTCAGTGGTGTGAAACCCAATCACACGGCAGCAGCCACCCCCACCATCCGTTTCTAGAATTTCCTCTAGCTATCCTCATTGCGTAGGATTGCCCATTCCTGCCAGACCCCGCTCCACGCTGTCCCTGCATCTGAAGACTCCAGGGCCCTCCTGTGGGCGGCCTCACCATTGTCCGCCTTTGTGACTAGCTGTGACACTGAGCTCAGCATCCCTGACAGTCCTGCTCCTTGTAGCTCACGTCAGGACTTACTTCTTTCCCAAGGTCTCTGTTTTAAACTCCTTTAATCCTAGCACACCAGGAGACAGAGGCAGGGGGATCTCCGTGACCACATGCCCAGCCTCGTCCACAGAATGAGTTCCAGGACAGCTGGGTACATACAGAGACCGTGCATCAGTATGTTTTTCTGGTCTAAAGTTTTGAATTGCATTTTAAAATTTATCTTGTGTGAGGGAGTCTTTAGAGGGCAGAGACAGCTTGTGGGAGTGGGTTCTCTCCTCCCGCTATGTGGTTCTTAGGGACCGAGCTCAGGTCGTCATTAGACGTTTCCAGCTGAGCCATCTCGTACAACCCCAGCCTTTTCCGAGACAGGGTCTAGGCCCAGGCTTGCATCAAACTCAGTGTGCAGCTTGTCCTTTCCTCCCTGCTGGTGTCCCTGTCACAGGAGGGAGAAGAACAGGGTGGAGCTCCCTTCGGGCCAGCGTCCTGAAGGCTCCTGGGATGAGCTGTGGGGTGTGGAGCCTGGTCTCACAGCGTCTGGCATCTGTCTGTAGCACCAGAATGGCATGTATGGGCTGCACCAGGATGTGCATCATTTCAACTCCTTCGACAAGGTGCAGAGCTTGCCGCTGCTGCTCCGCCAGGCTGGAGTGCGCACAGGTGAGGCGTGGGCAGGGCACCGTACGGGTGAGTGGTCCCTCTCTGACCCCTCCTGGTCCGAGCTGAAGTCAGTCTCATGCTGTGTGACCTGCTGCTTTGCCAGGCCAGCGGGCATGCAGGTGAGGATGGGCCCGTCAGGATGCAGGTGCCAGGCCGCTTGGTGACTGTTCCTAGCTTCTCGGCGAGGGATGTCCTGGGTTCTCAGTCACTCTTAGGACCGGACCAAAGTCCACACAGCAGCCACACTTTCAGGGCTTGGGCAGGATAAGGGACAGACTGCCCTCTGGACAGACATCTCTGGTGCTCCCTCAGGCATCATTGGGAAGAAGCATGTGGGTCCGGATACGGTGTACCCCTTTGACTTTGCGTTCACCGAGGAGAACAGCTCTGTGCTGCAGGTGGGGCGGAACATCACTAGAATTAAGCAGCTAGTCCGGAAATTCCTGCAGAGTCAGGATGACAGGTATGGAGGGTTCTGTCCTGGGCCCCTCTGGGGAGGGAGGCCAGACCCCTCAACAGTGGTGTAGGCTCTCATCCCTGGGTCCACAGCTGTGGACAGACTGTGGCAGGGGCCCAGGAAAACATTCTAAATACCCAGAAGAGGGGCAAGACGAGACTGAGGTAGTGAAGGGGACAGGGTTGCCTGCCGGTAGGAGTAAGCCAAGCTGAAGTGTGCCTTCCTAAGAACTGAGCCTCTTAGGGTCAAGACAGCAGCCTGGTCGTGACCCCCCCCCCCCATACTGACCCCCTCCCCGCATCCAGGCCCTTCTTCCTCTACGTGGCTTTCCATGACCCCCACCGCTGCGGGCACTCCCAGCCCCAGTACGGAACCTTCTGTGAGAAGTTTGGCAACGGGGAGAGTGGCATGGGGCTCATTCCAGACTGGACACCGCAGACCTACGACCCCCAGGATGTGAAGGTAGGAAGGGCCCTTGCTGTGCTTCCAAGACACCCAACCCATCCTCCCCAAATCCAGGGCCCCACCCTCCTTAGAGCGTGCAGCCCTTACCCCGTGATCTGGCACAATGTGTAGAAGAAGATTTGACTCTGTGGGCTCCAGGTCCTTCTGTGTGGGCTGCAGAGAGAACCTTGGATCCCCAAGGTGAAATAGTGTGTGTGTGTGTGTGTGTGTGTGCATAGAATCAAGCTGGTTTTGACCAGTTCGTTCACGGTAGAGTTGGAGGAGGGCACTGTACCCTGTCTTCCATCCAGTAAAAAATATCCCCATGCCCCGTCCAGCCTCAGACGCCTCCCCCTGCCTTCCGCCTCAGGTGCCTTACTTTGTCCCAGACACACCGGCAGCCCGTGCAGACCTAGCCGCCCAGTACACCACCATCGGCCGGATGGACCAAGGTGGGTTCTAGTGACCCGGGCTGTCTCTCCCACCACAAGCCCTGGAACTTCCAGCCAGGCTGGGCTCAACACAGTGTGAATAACCGGGTGGGTGCTGAAGGCCTGAGGCCTCAGTTTTCCTTGGCTCGTGGCCATGTTGCTGTAGGTTCCAGCACCTGCTTCGCACTACCTGCTTAGCGGTGTGTCCCTGCTTAGCGGTGTGTCCCTGCTTAGCGGTGTGTCCCTGCTTAGCGGTGTGTCTCTGCTTAGCCGTGTGTCCCTGCTTAGCGGTGTGTCTTTTCCCCTTTGGACTGTAGCTCTTCTTCTTTTTAAATACTTACTTTTATTTCACTGTGTGTGTGATTTGCATCACATGCATGCACTGCCCGCCGAGGTCTAAAAAAGACATCATCAGATCCCTGGAATGGAGTTACAGACGGCTGTGAGCTTCTGTGTGGTGCCGGGAGTCAAACCCGGGTCCTCTGGAAGGGCAGCTGGTGCTCTTAACCACTGAGCCATCTCTCCAGCCCCATCCCTTTTTATTTATTTATTTATTTATTTATTTGATTTTCGAGACAGGGTTTCTCTGTAGGTTTTTGGTTCCTGTCCTGGAACTAGCTCTTGTAGACCAGGCCGGCCTCAAACTCACAGAGATCCGCCTCCAGAGCCCCTTCTTTTTATTTAATGACAAGTTTTTCTTTATTTTCCATATGTGTGTGTGTGTGTTTTCACGTGTGTATGGGTTTACAGATGTATGTGTGCATGTGGAGGCCTGAGCTGACGTTAGAAATTGTCCTCATTCTCTTTCACCTTATTTACTGAGACAGGATCTGCCAATCAAACCTAGAGCTTGCTAACCCGTCTGGTCTTGTGGCCAGTTTGCTTTGGGGATCCCATTTCTACCTTCCGTGGCTGGAATTCCTGGTAGGCTCTCACTTACCTGGCAATTACGTGGGTTTCTGGGATCCGAGATGTGATCCCAACTCATGCGTGGCAAGCTCTTAGCTGATTTGCCATTGCCCTGGTGCTGTCTTCTGAGACAGGGTCTTGCTATAGCTCAGGTTAGCCTGGAACTCGTTAGGTAGCCCAGGCTGTCTCTGAATTCCCAGTTTTCCTGCCTCTGCCTTTCTAGTGTGGGATTACAGAAGTGACTCACTGCTCCTGGCTTCACTGAGAAGCACCTACCTGGGGACCTGGGGATATTGTCCTCCTGCGATCCTTAACTTACAACTGGTCACAGTGACAGACTTCTGCTGATATCTAGGGTGGGGATTCAAGCCCTGCAGGCACTAGTCCTGGGATCATGTTCCTACTGACGCTGTTAGAAGAGCCCTGGGTGTCCTGTCTTCAGGCTCCACAGGACAGACACAAGATTCTAAAACAAGAAGCCAGCTTGGGGCAGTAGCAGCTGCCTAGTGTGACAGCTGTCCTAAGGGATGAGCCGTCCGCAGAAGCCTTGTGACCCTGCTCAAGTTCAGGAGCTCTGTGGTGTTGGACTGAGGCGGGCTTGTGGAAAGGACAAAAGCATGTTTCAGGGCCAGAAAGTAACAGAACCCGGGGATGAATGAACACATACATGTACCTGAGCCTTCCCCTTCCTCCCCCTCCTCAGGGGTGGGGCTGGTACTGCAGGAGCTGCGAGGTGCCGGCGTGCTGAATGACACCCTCATCGTCTTCACATCCGACAATGGGATCCCGTTCCCCAGTGGCAGGACCAACCTTTACTGGCCTGGTACAGCTGAACCTCTGTTGCTGTCATCCCCAGAGCACCCACAACGCTGGGGCCAGGTCAGCGAGGCCTACGTGAGCCTCCTAGGTATGTCTGTCTGTCTGTCTGTCTCATGGGAGGGGATAGGTGAAGCCAGCCTCCAGTGGGACTGGCATGGGTCAGATGCTGGAGTGCTCCCCTGACCTAGGTAGTGTTCCTCCAGCTAGGCAGGGAAGAGACAGCCTCCTCTATTACGTGAGAAAAAGTCACTTGGGAGGCCTGTTCCTGTCATGCCATGACCCCCAAGTATCTGGTGGGGGCCCAGGTGGTACTAGTGGGTGGTGGGTTACCCACTGGAGAACCAGTGTGATATCTCCCTTTTTCTCAGGATCTACAGCCTCTCATGACTCAGCTCTGAGGAACTGGTTCTCAAGGTTGTCTAACCCGTGCCCTGAATGAGCAAACAAGCCTGCAGGTGTGGGAGATAGAGGGGCTGAGTTAAGCCGCCCCTGGCAGCTTTCTGTGCCTAGACCACTGCTTGGAAGAGCCTGTGTTCTTAGGGGTTATGAGATAGGCTCACTCCAGCTTGCACCTACCTCTCTGTGTGGCCCCAAACCATGAGAGAGGGAACCCTGTGACCCACCCAGAGTTAGTAGTTGAGTCCTCCCTACCCAGGACCCATAGGATTTTAGAAGGACCCTAGTTCTCAGCAAGATGGAGCCTCTGGTTACACCATTAATGGCTCCACAAGCCAGAGGTGACCAATGACAAGAGGTGCAATCCAGTGTTGTTCCTCCCTGCTGGTGATCTGGTCACACAGGGTGTCCATGGGATTTCCAGAGAGGCTCAGGTTCACCCCTTCCGAAGGGCTCTGTGTCCCTCAGGGACCCCTGCTAAGGGCTATTTCTTTGCAGACCTCACCCCCACCATCCTGGACTGGTTCTCCATTCCATATCCCAGCTATGCCATCTTTGGCTCAAAGACGATCCAGCTCACAGGCCGATCCCTCCTGCCAGCGCTGGAGGCAGAGCCCCTTTGGGCCACTGTCTTCGGCAGCCAGAGCCACCACGAGGTCACCATGTCCTACCCCATGCGCTCGGTACACCACCAGAACTTCCGCCTCATTCACAACCTCAGCTTCAAGATGCCATTTCCCATCGACCAAGATTTCTATGTCTCGCCGACCTTCCAGGACCTCTTGAACCGAACCACAGCTGGCCAGCCCACAGGCTGGTACAAGGATCTACACCATTACTACTACCGGGAACGCTGGGAACTCTACGATGTCAGCCGGGACCCTCGAGAGACACAGAACCTGGCCGCTGACCCACACTTCTCTCAAGTGCTGGAGATGCTGAAAGCCCAACTGACTAAGTGGCAGTGGGAGACGCATGACCCCTGGGTGTGCGCCCCTGACGGGATCCTGGAGGAAAAGCTCACACCGCAGTGCCGACCTCTTCACAATGAGCTCTGATGGTCCCTGGGGCAGCTGCCAGCCTGCCTCTACTCAGATGGGAAGGGAGGGACAATGGAGTCAGTGCTAACAGCCCCCCCCCACACACCCATCTGAGGAGGGGCCCCTGTAATGTGGGATGCCACTCCTGCCTCTACTCAGACGGGAAGGGAGGGACAATGGAGTCAGTGCTAACAGCCCCCCCCTACACACCCATCTGAGGAGGGGCCCCTGTAATGTGGGATGCCACTCCTGCCTCCTGGAGAAGAGCTCAGGCATGCACTCCCCATGTTGTCACCACATCAGGACACTGCTGTCCTCACGTCTGCGTGGACTGACCCAGGAGTTCTAGGGCTAACTTGGGTGGGCAGAATCCCAAGTTTGACCTGCAGATAAAGGGTAAGGTCTGGGGTTTCAAAGCCCTCTGGTTTCTGAAGTCCAGGGATGTTTTCAAGTTCTTTATTCTAATAGGAGTACAGAACTGTGTGCCCTGTGGTCAGTGGGTGAACCACACTGACTGCTGCAACCAGCGTTGGTGTAGAGGAAGCCTTAGGAGGCCCTGGGCTTGCTTTTGCCTTCATTCTACCCTCGTCGAGTACATGCTTGGTCAGAAACCTCACTGTTTCTCAGAGGTGATGAGCTTGATTCTGTGGTCTTTCTGGGCTCAGCTTGTCCTTTCTTAGGGTAACTGGGGACAGGGTGTGACAGTGGTCCCTCTCTTGCCCTTCATCCTCTCTCTTTGAGTGACACCAAGCTTATGGCTCAGCCTGTTGTCGGGATTTCTGTCCTGCCCGGTTCCCGCAATCGTTAAGTCCCAAAGAAATCACACAGCGGTCTATATTAATCATACATTGATTGACCCCTTTAGCTCAGGGTTCTTATTAACTCTTATAACTTATATTAGCCCATTATTCTTCTGTATGTTAGCCACATGGCTCAGTACCTTTTTCAGCAAGGCAGTCACTTCTTGCTTCTTCTGTGGTGGGTTCACAGCTGCAGAAAGAGCTTCCCTCTTCCCAGAATTCTGTTCTTATTGACCTGTCTCTACTTCCTGTCTGGTTGTCCTGTCTATACTTCATGCCTGGCTACTGGCCAATCAGCATTTATTTAAAACATAATTGACAGAATATAGACAATTGTCCTACACCACTTCTCCCCTCATTTTTTAAATAACAAGAACTCTGAATCTAATATCCTTTGTTTAGCTTTTCTCCTGACCATTATCCATAACAACTTGTAATCAACATTCTAAACAAAGGAATATATCCATAGATCATTTTTTTGGGAGGGGGGTGCTGGTTGGTTCCTGGCTGCCCGGCTAGCTTAGACCTGAAATAATCACACAGAAACTGTATAATGTAAATCACTGCTTGGCCCACTATCTCTAGCTTCTTATTGACTAACTCTTAGATATTAATTTAACCCATCTCCATTAATCTGTGCATCACCACATGACAGTGGCTTAGTGGCTAAAGTTTCGGCATGTCTGTTTTCAGCAGTTCCATGGTGTCTATCTGATTCTGCCTTTCTTTCTCCCAGCATACAGCCTAAGTTTCCCTGCCTAGTTCTGTTCTTCCCTGCCATAGGCTCAAAGCAGTTCTTTAATCATTAACCCATAAAAGCAACACATAGACAGAAGGACTTCCCTCACCAATACTCTTATAAAAAGGGACAGAGAAAAATTGCCTTTATGGCACCTACATATAATAATTCTCTTTCTACTAAGAGATACCAGTAGATCTTTCTCCCAAAGGGAGTGCTCAATAGCCCCACCCTGTGCCAATATTTTGTAAGTCAACCATTGGAAATAATACATAAAAAATTGTCTAAATCTACAATTTACCATTATATGGATGGCATTTAGCTAGCTGATTCAAATGGAGATACCTTAGAAAGCATGTTTGAAGAAGTAAGAAAGATTTACCTAAATGGGGATTATAAATTACTCCTGAAAAAAAAATACAAAGAGGAGGGCTGGAGAGATGGCTCAGCGGTTAAGAGCACTGACTGCTCTTCCAAAAGGTCCTGAGTTCAATTCCCAGCAACCATATGGTGGCTCACAACCATCTGTAATGAAATTTGGCGCCCTCTTCTGGCGTGCGGGCATACATGGAGGCAGAATGTTGTATACATAATAAATAAATCTTTAAAAAAATACAAAGAGGAGATTATATCAATTACCTAGGTTATAAAACAGGTTTACAGAAAATTAGAAGACAAAAATCTCAAATTATGAGAGACTGACTGGAAACAATGACTTTTTTCTTTTTTTAATCATTTTTTATTACTTTATAAATAATACCAATCAAAATTTCCACTTCCTTCCCTCTTCCAACTTCCCTCCTGCTCCCCCACACATCCTCCCTCCTCCCCCTCCAGACATGAGAGAGGGCAAGGTACCCTGCCCTGTGGGAAATTCAAGGCCCTCCACCCTACATCCAGGCTTAGAAAAGTATACATCAAAATAGAATAGTATCCCAAAAGCCAGTACATACAGAAGAGACAAATCCCAGTGCCATTATCATTGGGTTTTCAGTCTGCCCCAATTTTCAGCCACATTCAGAGGGTCCAGTTTGATCCCATGCTCATTCAGTCCCAGTCCAGCTGAATTTGGTGAGCTCCCATTAGCACAGGCACACTGTCTCAGTGGGTGCACCCCTTGTGGTCCTGACTTTCTTGCTAATATTCTCCCTCCTTTTGCTCTTCAACTGAATCTTGGGAGCTCAGTCCAGTGCTCCAGTGTGGGTCTCTGTCTCTATCTCCATCTGTCGCTGGACAAAGTTCTATGGTGATATTCAAGATAGTCATCTGTCTGACTACGGGGCAAGGCCAGTTCAGGCACCCTCTCCTCCACTCCCCAGGGTCCTAGCTGGGGTCATCCCCATGAACTCCTGGGAACCCCTCCAGAGCCAAACCTCTTGCCAACCCCAGAATGGCTCCCTCAATTAAGATATCTCCTTCCCTGCTCCCATATCCATCCTTCCTCCATCTCAACCATCCCACTCCCCCAAGCTCTCCCCAATCCTCCCCTTCTCCCTTCTCTCTCCCTCTCGTCTTTGCCCCACCCCACCCCACCCCCATGCTCCCAAATTTTGCCTGGTGATCTTGTCTGCTTCCAACTTCCAGGAGGATCTATATGTTTTTCTGTGGGTTCACCTTATTACTTAGCTTCTCTAGGATCATGAACTATAGGCTCAATGTCCTTTGTTTATGGCTAGAATCCACTAATGAATGAGTACATACCTAAGCTTTTATGGCTCTCCAGCAGGGTTTATTCCCTGCTGCTGGCTTTCTTTGCCCCATTCCACTCTGCTCCTAAGCCCGCCTTTTCATCTGCGAGGTCTTAATGACTGTCAAAGATTGTTAGGAAACATTTCTAATCTATGACCCACTGTGAAGACAACAAATGATTTAATAATTCATTTAAACCAAACCTTTGATGGTGACAAAGACATAAATAGTCCCAGAAAATTAACAGCTAAAGCTGAGAAAGAATTAACTTTGGTTGAAGAGAAATTACAGGAGGCACATGTGGGTTGGGTGAATCCAAATCTTAATGTCATTCTAGTCATATTGCCTTCCAGAATTTTCCCTACAGGAATTTTAATGCGGAGGGATTATATTAGAATGGATCTTTTTACCACATAAACTGATTAAAAAATTAAAAATTTATGTGGAAAATATCTCTGAATTAATTATAAAATGAAAATTGATACTTCATCAACTAGCAAGAATAGAGTCAGTAGGGATTATAATGCCTTTTACTACTAATGAAATTAAAAAATATGGGAAGACAGTGAACCCTGGCAAAGAGCTTGTGGTAATTTCTTAGGAGAGATTAATAGCAATTATCCCAAAAGTGATAGAATTATCCTTATAAAGAGAATTACTTGGACTCTTCCCTGCATTATACATGACACACCAACAGCAGGAGCTCGTACATTTTATATTGATTCAAATAAATCAGGAAAAAACAGGTTACAGATCAGAAGATTTAACTAAATTGGAACCAATCCTTATAGTTCTGTCCAGAAGGCAGAATTATATGCTATTCTCATGTTACTAAGATTTTAAAGAAGCTCTCAGCATAGTTAATGATTTGTAATATACAGAAAGTTATTTTGCCTATTGAAACCACTGAATTTATACCAGATCATACAGAATTGTCTTCATTATTCATTCAAACTCAAGATATAATCAGGAATAGTCTTTGTCCCATATACATAACACACATCTGACCCCATACAGGTCTACCTGTATGCGAGTACCCCGCATTCAGCACAGTGGGTCAAGTGACCTGAAATCTGACCCCTTGCTGGCTGCTGTCTCAGGGTCACACATTGTTGCTGGATCAAACTCTGCTGACTGCCCAGCCAGGCTCCACACTAGCCCTCCCTCATGAGGCTGTGGTCTGCTCCTGGAGCCAGCAGTTCATAGAGAATCTCGCACAGCTGCTTTTCTATGGACACGCCTCAGATTGGCTTCAAGTACCCTCACACCCTTCCATTTGCCTCCCACCAGGGATCACTGCAGACATTTCCATGACACACAGGCTCCTTCCCCCATCTGAGCCAGCTGTTCTGCTGCGTTCTAATGATTTGTTTGCATTTGCTTATTCCATTGCTCTAGACATCTGCAGAGCACACAGTCTGTGATTTATCTTTTAGCATTCTGCTCTAAAATCAGAATTCAGACTGGCCACGGGTGAATTCACATGTACCATGTACCACTATGCTCCGCTGGATTAGTTTTGTAGGTGGCCCATGACACCTACTGGCAGGTTACAGTTCTTGCACCTAATCCAGCTAATTTAACCACAGGTAGAATTTAATATCCTAAATATAGGAGGCAGAGGCCAGCCTGGTCTACAAGAGCTAGTGCCAGGACAGGAACCAAAAAGCTATGGAGAAACCCTGTCTCGAAAAATAAAAAAAAAATATCCTAAATATAGACCATAAGTGGCTAATTTAAAGGGGCACTTTGTCAGACAATCTCACCGTCCAAGGTTTCCATACCCTCTTTACTTGCACCATGTGCAAGGTTTTACAAGACTTCTATGATGTCCCTTCTACATCACTATTTTTGTTTCTGGGGATTAGTCTTCTACTAAATATTTTTTTTTAAAAAATGGTTTGACAGTAGGGAACAAATGAGGCATTTTTAGAAATGGTGCAGTCTTTTCAGACTAAAACCACACTTTTCAGGAAAGAGGTTGGAAATCTGAAGAAGGATGCAGCCAATTTAACTGACAGTACTCAGTCAACTGAGATACTCTTGGAAATGGTACAGACTAATAGTAATTTATTTAAAGAAAGATTCAGCACTCTGGAGAAGGAAACAGCTGATTTGGCACATAAAAACCAGTCAATGACAATAGATGCTGAAACATTATTTGAGAGAATTCGCACTGTTGAAAGTATTAATCGGACTCTATCAAAGGGGTATGACAGATTGACTGATGGAACGTCTCTCCAGGAAGGTAATATGCATGCTCTAAAGTTTATGTCCAAGGATGAGACATTATCTCTACTGGACAGACTTCATACCTTGGAATCCTCAATGAGGGCATCAGAGCAGAACACTGGACAGGAGCTTCAGACATTACAAAAGGCAGTGGTAAACAGATTTGAAAAGATTGAGGAAATTATCGAATTTGTTGACCAGAAACAAAAGGTACAAAGGCAAAATTTAACTTTGTTGGTACATAAAAATCTCTGTGATAGCTTCCCCAGAGTTCTGCCTGCCTTTCCAGTAATAACCACAGAAAAAGTATGTAGTGCCAAGTACCCTAAGGTTGTCAAATAATATACATGGGAGCAATTGTAGTTGAAAAACTACATTTGTCTTTTGTTAGGGAGATGTCAAAACATGGGCTTTCAGTAGCAAAGCCTCAAGATTGGGCTCAGTTAATCTCAGCAGTCCTAGAAAGTGGACAGCAATTACTTTGGAGATGCTTTTTTAAAAGAGGAGGTAAGAATTTTAGAACAACAAGA